CACTGATTACACTGTAAATGATAATCTACCTTAACCAAAATCAAAGTAGACTATCACTCACCCACATTATATATATTCATTATTTTATATATATCATAGTAAAATTAAAAAAATACATGTGTTTTTTACGGCAAGGACATTCTTTTTTTTCTTTTTTTTCTTCTTCTTAAAAGGGCAATGGCCTTGAGATATCATCTTTGAGCTGTTTCATGAGTTTCATGATATAGACGATGAAAGACAAGTCGAACTCCAGAGAAACATACACAACTTGTACGAGAAGCCCTTTTAAGAACAAATCAGAGTTATTTAAACTTATTTAAACTTATTTTCACTCATCATCAGATTCCATTGGAATTCAAACTCAGGTCTGCCTTTCATTTTTTTTTTTTTTTTCCGGTAGGTGTACCAACTGAGCTAGGCCAGTTGGTGACATTCTATTTTCTGATTTCTTTTCGATTTCTTTTTTTTTCATTAATCCGGGAAAAAAAACAAAAAAAAACTATGTTATAGAAAATTGCAATACAAAGTTCCAAACAGCTTTTGCCTGAGGGTCTTGGCAAAATCCCCACCGAACCCAAGGAAAAAAAAAAAAAGAAGAATGGCTTGACTAGAGGCTCCTGGAAAGTCATACCATAAAAGTCATACCATAAAACTCGTTGTATAACATACGTATGTTGTATTCAAATACAACGTACTCGAATACAACTTTACCCCGTACGTTGTATTCGTATACGACATACGTTCATTTTTCTTCCCAGGTTAAGAGTCTTAAGACAGTAGTCATTATAGCTGTATGTGGTGCAACTTCAGCCTAGATACAGCGATAATAGTCCTGAGGGACATCCGTTAAAAGTGGGACTGTGCTGCACTGTGCTATACACTACTTCCTGTGCCCCGTGCAATCCCCACCCTCACCCTCCTCCTTTTTCACCCCCTGCCACGAACCCTGTTCCACCCATCCAATACCCCTTCCACTTCCAAGGTCTTTTTTTTTTTCATCGTTTTTTTTTTGTTTTTTTTTTTTTTTGGTTTTTAATCGTTTTTTTAATCGTTTTTTTAATCGTTTTTAATCGTTTTTTGAAACCAAGGTATGTAAAGCTGGAGGACTTGTTGGCTCAACTGCTCAAGGCACTTGCAGAGCGCACACTTCACTGATTAAAGTGAAATAAAGTTTAATAAACAACAACAAAAAGAACGACGCCCTGGACGCCCTGCGCTACCACGTTCCGCTCATGGGCCCCCCCCGTACCACGCCCTCCTCTACCCGCTGCCCTACCCTGTTCTGCCCGTCCAGTCCCATTCCGCTCTCTCCTTCACCCTCTGCGCGCCCCCCCCCACCCACCCCATCCTCCTTTACTCCCTGCCCTGCCCCGTTCGGTCAGTCCAGTCCTCTTTCACGCCCCCTCGTTGTTTGCCCCCTGCCGTACCCCGCTCGACCCGTCCAGTCCCACCCACTCCGTCCTTTATCACCTGCCCCCCCCCCCCTTACCGTGTCCCCGCACATCCACCCACCCTCCGTCCCTGCCCACCTTTTATGCTTATGGCTTGAGGCTTCAGAAATTTAGTTCCAGTGTGGGCTAATGCTGTGTGGGTGGGTTTGTGTGCATGCCTATGCATGTGACTTTGTTTCTGGGCGAGGGGGAGCTGCATTCCTTTCTTGTTCATCTTGTTGCAGGTTGAGCCGCCATCAGAATCTCCAAGGCTCAGCCAGAACCTTATCGGGTTCACAGAGGATGCAGAGGTTTTGAACAGCCGAGCTGCAATGATTGGCTTTTTTGGTTTGCTAGCAGTTGAATTTGTAAGTTAAATGCTCTCTCTCTCTCTCTCTCTCTCTCTCTCTCTCTCTCTCTCTCTCTCTCTCTCTCTCTCTCTCTCTCTCTCTC